AGGCCTGTTGTGAAATTCAATATGACTCATATATGCGTGATTTAGATTTCCTCTCTTCATTGAACCTTTGCAACATGCACAAATAAATCAATACAACTCTAACACTGTTACTATACACGGCAGTGTTTTATAAAATGTGACTGTTTAATTTACCATTAGACAGTTAAAGGTCAAAAAACATATTCCCATCTAAGTGGGATCAAAACAGGGAGACACTATACACGCTAAAAACCATAATACAATAAATAAAAAGCATATGTAACTGTGGAGAGTGTTATACATAAGCCTATATAAAACAGTCTGGCTATACCTCTTGTTGCTCTCCAGTTGTATTTAGGAGAGGCTGAACAACACAAGCGCCTCCCTTTTTCTGTTTTCCTAACAAAACAGGAACATGGAAACACCACAAAGGAGAAAGAAAACATACAGAGCATGGGTTGTCCCTATTGCTTTTGTTTCTTTGCACTGAACCAGTTGCTCAAGCATTTGACAAGACAAGCATTTTGACATTTTCAGACGACAGGGCAGCTCGCTTCTTCTGAACAACATGGCCAGAAAGTGAAAATAACCTCTCACATGGTATGGATGTGGCAGGTGCTGCCAAGTACTTGCGTTTAAGGTACCATCTCAGTGTGTGCCCCTTCATGCTTGAGCCACCATTTCTGGGGACAGTCCTCTACGTCAATAGTTGGCTCTGGCCTAGATCGCTCCACACACTTCTCAGTGCAGTCCTCCTCTTCAACAGATGAATACTGTGATGCAAGCGTGAGAGCTGATCTTTTCTTAGATGGCTCATATGTTGCTGGTTGTTCAGGCTGTGCAGGCCTCTGCCTCTCCCTCAGCAATGCACTGATCAAGCGCCACACCTCAGCCCTGTCAGGCCTGCTAAGATCCTTAAACCTAGGATCCAGTGCTGTCGCAACCCTGAGCCACATGACGCTAGTTTTTTCCTTGTGCTTCTCCATTTTTGCTTTGAAGGTCTCCTTGAACTTAACCATGTAAGCTGGGTCAGCGACAGGTGACACAACGCTGGCAACACCACTGAGCAGGAAACAAACTTCTCCCCTCCCAAAAGTTCAGATATATACCTGCAGTTTTAGAGAAACACACTTCATGAAGAATTTGTTACATTCACTTGTATAAGGTTAAAAAGGCCTTTGACCTTTCTGCATTTTGCCAATGTAAGGTTAAATTGACTGTTCTGTGTGATGGCTCGATGAAGGCCGCTGCAACCATGTTGTGTGCACTGTCAGTGGTCAGCGTGCTGACTTTATGTTCAATTCCCCACTGTCTAGCTACCTGCTTAAAGTGCACGCCGCACGTGTCAGCGAAGTGCCTCTCCTCCATCTTCATAACAGTCAAAACATGCGAGTGAAGTTCCCACTGTGGTGAAAAATAATATGCTGTTATTCCAGGGTAGCTATGATTACTCAGAGAAGTCCAATAGTCTCCAGTGAGCGCAACCGTGTTGGTCTGCCCCAAAGCCTCCTCGACTTTGGTTTTCTCATCTTCATACAAGTTGTGTATCTTGGTTACAGTGGTGGCTCTCGAAGGCAATTCATACATGCAGTCGTTGGACGCTATGCAAATTATTTCAAGTAGCCCCTCATCCTCCACAATGATAATGGGCCTCCAAGCTGTAGCCACCCATTTTGCTATGGCTGTAGAAAATTTGTTGGTTGTAGAATTGTCCAGACGTCTCCTTTGAAAGCTATCCAGCGTGGTCTGCCTTTGGCGAGAGGGAGGAGGACTCTCTGTGTTAGCTATGTGCTTGGTTAGCAAGTGGTATTTGAGATGGGATGTACTACGGTAATAACTCAGTTCACATCGACAGTAAATTCAAATTCAATTTACTTTGTTTTTGTCAAGAAAACTATCTGGCATTGCATGGCAAAATTGAACTTGCTGTTCAAAAGACCTTTTCCTTTATCTATTTCTGCTCACATCTACAACTGCTGCGTCGCTTCCTGATTTCTGAAAAAAGGGGGTGGGCCAAAGATCACAGGCCGTTAATTCTGTGTCAAAAAAAATAAAATAAAGGTGTTTAAATGTTTTTGCATTTATGCATTATTATCAACATTGACATTTGTGTGTTCCCCTCTTGCCCCTGCGGGCGATCTATCCCTCAAGCTCAGGTCCTCTATCAGAGGCCTGGGAGCTTGAGGGTCCTGTGTTGTGTTATGGCGTTCCATGTATGCCCTGCCTGCTAGCATCTCGCACCCTGCTGTATAATACATTTATATATTCCTATGATGCCCCTGAGACAATCCAGCACATTACAGGGCCCAGGAAGAGGAGTGGCAGCAATCTTTCACTCCAGCTAATTAATGAATTAAGACCCAAATTTTTAATTCATTTATTTGAAAGCCAGACTTTATTTTTAAACAACCACAGATATGTTGAGCCATGTAAACCACTCTCTGTCTGAGGCCTTAAGATCGCTTGCTGGTGGAATCACCATCTCCAGTTATTAAGCCATCTGTCAAATGGCTCTCTATGGTACCCAGGTAAAGATCTTCAAGGGTCTGAGGTCTTAATTTTTGACTTCTCTGAGTGTTTTGTTTCCCTTCATGTGCCTTATGGTCAGAGACAGTTGATTTTCTTACCACCATTGTTCTAGGTCAGTCACTGCTTCCCTTGAGGCTGTCTCATCACCTGAAGTCAAGCAACAACATTTTTTGCCTTTCTGTTGGTTTAGAGAACCCAGTCATCCTGCAGATTCCTGCCGCCCCTGTGGTGGAGGGAGATAACATCACTCTGCTCTGTAGAACAAAGAATCCCTCCAACAAATCAGCTGATTTCTTTAAAGATGGTATCTTCATCAAAAATGAAAATACACG